TTACAAGTGATTTAGTGTTCGTATAATGTCTTCTGGATGGGTCGGCATGAGCACAAAACCTTGTAGCAGCCTGATCTAGAAAGAGTGTTTGAAAATTGTCCAAATGAAGAAACTATTAAAGAAGGTTTCAATTTATCTTCATTCATTATTTTTATGTTACACTTACTAAGTAGATGAGCCAATCTTTTCGCAAGCTTACAGGAAGACACTGTACTGACAATTGAAATTGACCTATTCGCACAAATCAGTAGTCGCTCGTCTCTTCAAACGAATTGAAAGGCACTCCAACATCAAACTATTAAGTGATTCTTCGAAACTCCCTCTTTCTACATACCAACCTAACGCCAGTTGGTCTTTCCAGGCTCCCAAATTGCATCTCAACTGCTGGTGAAGCGGTAGAACATCTGTCATCCCAATTACAAGGCATGCAGAAGGTATGCATCAGCGCCATGGCAACAGAGACAGTATGGAACCGCGTCCATGAAATGATCATAGAGGCGTCTCTAATGAAAACTGTAGCAGTGGATATTTATCGTTGGGACGTAGACGTGGCAGGAAGTACACGTCGTTTGCACAACAGTTCCCTTCCTCCTTAATTGGACTCGATCCTGCCGTAACCAGGACTATTCCGGCGATCAGCGTGATCAGTGTTAATGGTCTGTAAAGAGATGGAGTTATGTTCTCACTCGTTGTGGTGAAATTGCACGAGGAAGAGATTTTTTTGGTTGATCCCACTAAAGCCAACGGTTGATTCCCGTTGTTATGCAGCCATTCGGCTTGACAAGACGAAAGAAGAGAATTGAGATGATTTATGAACGCCAACTACGACTAGCCGGCGTCCTGAAGGTCCTTAACAATGTCGTCTGGTCAAGTGGAGGCGTTGACAGAGTCGATGGACAAACTCCTTTACCTCCCATTTAAGCCAGCCCACCAGAAGTCCAGCATCACAAAGCTGGCAAATCTGCTTTCGCTCGAGGAGATCCTGTACCTCAGTCCGACTCATTCCGTTCAAGTGACCCCAAACCCAATCAGTTCCACCAGCGAACTAAGCATCCTCATGAGGTAATCGGCCTCGACCTCCTCAAGCCAGCAGTTTTCGAGGACGACGTATTGGAGACGCACACAAGACAACCTCGTCTGAAACCGCAAGGGTGAGCCTCTAAGGAGCTGTGTTGTAGTCATCCGTATCACTGGCAACCCTAAATTTCGTTTCCACACCGACCCACACACATTCACACACACAACTAATTCACACACACTGTCATTGTCAGCTACTCCTTCATCCATTTTTGGCTCCCCAGTTCAAGTCAACCCTCCATTCACTTTACAGCGGCGAGCTGTGAGTCTGTCCTTTCTCAGGTCCAGCAGCCACCCGAGCCATGTACACATTTGTCTGCATCCCACATGCATCCCAAACCCCAACCTTGAGCATTGGTCTCTTTCCATTTAGCTTTTGAATGCAAGTACTCCTCGTCTGGTGGGTGTTTGTCACGTATTATTGTCACATGCCAGAACCTCAGTCCGACGAGTCAGACGAGGTTGTCTTGTGTGCGTCTCCAATACGTCGTCCTCGAAAACTGCTGGTCCGAGGAAGTCGAGGCCGATTACCTCATGTGGATTCTTAGTCTGCAGGTGGAACTGATTGGGTCACTTGAACGGAATGAGTCGGACTGAGGTTCTGGCTCTTTGAATTCACACAAACCGCCTTGGATGAACGCACATTCTGTCATTTCCGTCGTGACTCGTGGGCAATGAGTCGTGAATGAGTGATTGGTCATCTTCACAAAGTCATGACATTTGCAGGTCCAATCATATGCCCTCTTTTGTGCTTGGCACACGTTGTAGCCCTGCGGCGACAAGAAAGTGGACATTGGCAGGTCTGATTCAGCCCACTCGGATCTGCTTTATTGCTGCAACTCTGCCGCGAATGACCGGAGCTGCCTTGAGACTGAAACTGAAAATGATCTTTTAAAGGGTCGACCTCCAAACTGGCCTCTTCAAGCCTCCAGTCGATCCGTTGCTCATCGACAAGACAACTGTCGCCACCCCATTAGGAGTATTCAACTGTCCGAGAATGTCTTTCACACCCTCCAGTGCTTGATGAATCATTCCACCATCTGCCTGGAAGCGTATTCATCAAGAGCGCCGAACTTGTTGTCACCAACCGCATCCTCATTCGACCTCGCTGGCCATCGCTTCAACGGCCTGAGCAGACGGCCGAGGCAAGAGAGCATGTAAAGCACAACCATTCTCGCCTTCCTCACACCTTCAATTCCTTGCATGTTTGCCTCGGCATGGGCTCCTCTACTCTCGGTTCATACCAGGCCCTGTTGCTCTCGTGAACCCATTCGACGACGTTGCTTCTTTCAACAGCCTCTTCAATCTTTTGCTTACTCCGCCGTCTTGGCTCGTTCGACGCTTCCCTTCATCCTATTTCATACCATCCACAATCGGCTGTCAATTATGTACTGTTTGGGAAACTCAGGTTTCTTACGAAAGTGTGTCTGGGGAAGAGATGCGCTGCAGTCCACGACGAATCCCCACTCGTTTTCATTCATCACATGATCGCCATCATCAGAGCTCTGAACTCATTCTCGTCAGTGTCAAATTAACGCTTGATCAAGAAGACTGTCTGGCTCTATCTTACCTCTTTTAAGTGCTCGTAACTATGGACGACAACGTATAGGCACGGATACATGTAGAATGGTTTGGCTA